AATGATTTTATTTGGAAAAGGGAGATTATTTCTTCCAAAAACAAAATCTTGGAAAAACTTAATAAATTTGAATGAAATGATTCTAAAGTTTGTTTCAAAATTATAAGAGCAAGCATTTTTCTGGGGTTACTCATACTTCTTGTGTACCGATTGGGTCCAAATTTTTTCTATTAGTAAATAACTATAAAAATTTGAAAAACAACCCCCCCCCCAAATTATGAAACAAGTCAAATTTTGAAAAAAATTCATAAAAAATTTAATTTTGATTGAAAAATTTTGAAACTCTCAAAATCCTAATTTTTATATGGTATTTACTAATAAAAAAATTTGGACACAATCGGTACACATGAAGTATGAGTAACCCCAGAAAAATGCTTGCTCTTATAAATTTGAAAAAAACTTTATTTCGTACTAAAATTAATTTCTCATTTGTTAGGAAAATGCACGACGAAAAATCAAAGTTCATTTTAACAGGCAAAGCAATATTGTTAAGGATTTGCAAAAACTTCGCGATCATCTAAATAAACTTGTGTAATATAAACTATTTTTCAATCAATTTAACATTTACAAATCAAATATAAATTAGGGATGTGCTCTGCCGTATTTTAAAAAGCTAATACGTAACTAGTTGAAAGAGTCGGAAAGGCGGAATTTGTGGTAGTGAAGAGGAAAAAGGGTAAATATTGAGGTGTAAGGAGTCCTGTAAATTCGGGCTTTCTAAAGTTGGGCTTCAACTTTTCAGAATTTTGTTATCCTGCTAGTAAAAATTTTGAGTATTTTGAAATACCAAAAAGCCATGTTTCTTCCTTTTTAGGGCTTGGACATCTGATTCGGACATAAGGGAACCTCACCCTATGCAAGAGCCTCTATAAAATTTCTTAGAGTGATAATCCTCATTTTCCGTGCCTCAGAAAAATTTTAAAATTATTGAAAACAAAGAAGCCAGAATCCTTCTTTCTTAGGAAAAAATTTTTTGGAAGACCAAAAATAATGGTCGTCATTAGATTTAAATCGACTAAAGAGAGCCGAAGGGAAAACTGAAGGACCGAAGAGTTAAGCCGGGCCGAAGGGCTTAAAAAGAGGACCGAAGGGAAAACCTGAAGGGGCTAAAAAACGTAATTGCGAAAGGTGAAGCGGCAGAGAGCTAATCCCTGATAGTTTATTTTTTGCTCTTAAATGACAAAAAGCTCTTAAAATGACAAGTGAAAGAAAAAAACTTTCTTTTCAGCTTCAAACCTCTCATGGATGCTCTGACGACTCGTAAAAATGAAGGTAATTAATTTACTTTAATTCAATTGTAATCATCAATCGGAGTTTCCTCTGAAAATAAATATTTTAACTTGGTTATATCTGTATTAGTGTTATTTACGGTACGGTATTACCGCGGTATTGTTTCCGGTATTACCGGTCTATTTTGTAAAAAACTCCGCCTTTTAATACTTTGCCCAGTCAAAAATTTGTCTTTCCAAAACCCAGACAAAGGAAAAAATATATGGCCAATTTAGTCCTGTTAGTGAGAATGAACATATTTAAATAAGTTGTACATATTCAGTTGAGGAAATATGTAAACAAGTACAGGATGGGCAAGATCAACAAGAACACGATGGACAAGGGCAACAACATGTTGAAAAAGGCCAAAAAAAGAACAAAAAGAAAAAACAGAACAAGCGTAGAAATTGAAATTAGTGACTTTTCGGAGAGCCACAGTTGAGACACTGAGCAATATTTTTGGCCATAACTTTTCTGGTTCATAATTGAGTTAGATAGTTAATATATCATCGATAGCTCATGATTAGAATATTATAGAAAATGTTACAATTGAACGAAGATCTAAAATCATGATTGCGCTCACTTATCTAGATGCAGCTTTTATTAAATTAATGTCAAATCAATCGTGATGGCAAAAATAATTCACGAATCCGGGGCTTTCGAATGGTAGAAGATTTTTTCGAATTGGCTGTAAACCCAGAAAGTTATTGCTCAAAATATGGCTCAGTCAACCACGACCGATTTTTCCTTTCCCCGCCTGACTTTTTCTTTAAAGATTATGACAGAACTAAATATATGTTTCCTTCAGTATATGAGGATTATGAGATTATATGTGAGATAATTCTATGACATCCATCAGTATATGATTATCTTCCTTCAGATTTGTCATAATATAGATTTAATTTTCATCAATTCTTTCTTCTGTCTTTTCAATTAAATTCTTTTATATTCTATTCTTTCTAGCACAATTTGTATTAGTTTTCCATTTCTAGAATTTTTAATCCATTTTTTATTTTGACATTTTTCGGTGATTTGTAGTTTTTATGCTCTTGCGATAAATTTTAGTTATTCTTTAATTATTATTGAGATAATCTCGAAATTATTTTGGCAATTTCTTGGGCTCCAACTCTCAGATTTTCCCAGTTTTTACATCATTTATCCTTTAATATTTTCCAAGTTCACATTTAAAGTTTGCTGTTTCTACTTCTGGTTCTTATAAAAAGAAAATAAAGAAATAGAATGAATTTAACCGATAGATGTCTGGAAACGGTTTGGAACTGGACCTCAGCCTTAAAACTTTTGCACTGACCGGAGTTTAACCATTCTGCTTAGCTTATCAAGAAGAATCGAATGATATGTCGTTTTAACATTTTTATAGCGTATCATAAAAACTTTTCTATTATTAAGGATCTTTTAAAAGGTTTGATATTAAGGATCTTTTAAAAGGTGCAAATGTGGCAATTTTTATTTACTCAACAATTTTTATTTACTCAACCCTAGACTCAAACACAAAAACTTATTTAAGATGGAAAAATTTATTTAATTAATTTAAATACCGAATTTATTATGAGTGGTAGCCAAATATATGAGTGCTTTTAAAAAAATAGAAAAGTAACAACTGAATAAGCCAGCTCAAAGTGAAAACGATCTTGTTGTAGTAGGCAGGCGGGCTTATTTTTTAAGGTTTAAAAAAATAATTGGGAAAGAGAAAAAATTTGTGCGTTACGCATAATATTAAATGAATTTAAATTTTTTAATATATTTATGTAAATTAATAATATATTTAAATAAAGGAAAAAATAATAATAACTAAAAAACCCCTCAATGGTAGAGGAAATATAATAAGCGTAATTCACGCATCTGTTACATTTTCAGGCAACTCGATTTCTCAAAAGAATTTGCTAATAACCATTTTCGTTATAAGACCCACGTTATTGTGGTGAATGTAAAAGGGATTGGATGGATATCAAGAAAACAACAAGTAATAATGGTAACAACAAAAGAAAATATTGACATTAATTCTTTTGAAAATGAAAGGGGTGTTAGATCCATATTTCGACAAATAATTATTTCTTTTAATATACATATTATTTTCGATATTTGTTGCCCCAAAATATGCTGTAAATGTTTGTTATCTAATTTTTAAAATATTCAAAACATTTCCCAATATTTTACCTTACCTTACTTCATTTAAAACATTCCCTCAAAACAAACATAGACTTTGTTCTTCAACTTCATCTTATTTATGTTACATTTATATTTTACTTATTAATGTTTTACAAACCGCTGATTTAACCTTCTTCCGACCATTCCTTAACAGAATAAATACTTATTTTTTTATATTATTCAAGCTCGTCTTGATCAAACTTGCTACCTAAACTTAAACTCAACTTATTTGAATAAAACTTGTATAATTATTGTTTGAGTTAGATTTGTTGAATATAAGAAGAATATTTAAATTTATTTAATATAGAAAAAGCGGGACCCAATACTAGCTAAAGGAGAGGAATAGCTATAGCCCAGCTGCTCTATTATAGTCACTTGATTTACCTGTCAAGACATGCCTTGTCAATTTTAGCTCAATGTTTGTTGATGAATTGAAAAACTATTTTTAATAGGGATAAAAAATAAAGGGCAATGAGCTTATATGCGAGCCATGAACTTATGAACTGTCCTATGAAATTGTCCCATGGACTTATGCATCCTCTTAAATTATAAGCACGTCAGCTTAAAATTTAATGACAAAATGAAAAGATATTTTTGCTAGGGGTAAAAAGAAAATTTATATAAATGAAAATATCGCCATTCAAGACTTGACTTTCGTTGCACTTATGTAAGTTACGCCCACATTTAATTGGCTTTAAAAATAGAAGCAACTTGCTATACAATTCATTTTATTTTCTTCAATAATTTAGCTGTTTAATTTCGGGGATGGGTTTAATTTTAAAACACATTAAAATTGAAATAAACAATAACTATATTTTAGGTATTCCCTCCCCCCTTAATTTGGGTTTTGGTAATGTTCGATACTCAACCTGTTTTTTATTGAGAGCACTCAACCGGCAGTACTCAACTCCCGGTACTGATTAGCCTAATCGCAGAAACGAAGATATTACAGACATCAAAATATCCTTAAAATCTTTGAAACTCCACAAAAACACCTTTACGAGCGTATAAATATTTTTATTAGTCCAAAAAATTATTTTAAATTATTTTTTAAATCCTCACTGCCCAAATGTCCGCTCACTCCCCAAATGTCCCCAAATCTCCGGGAGCTCTTCAGGGTGTAGCTCTTTGTGATAACGATCAAAATTCTAGGATTGAGATTTTTGTTTGAAATATAGATTTCGGTTATCTTACGATAATTATCGATATTTGTCAAGATTTATCGAGATACTCTTAAATATCGAGATTATCTATTAACTCGAGAAATAACTAGAGAAACAAAAAGGTAATAGAAGTGAAAGTGATTTGGACACATTCTAAACCAGATGCAATATTAATTAATTTAATTTATTTAATTTAAGGATGAAAATTTACAATTTAATTCTTTTAAATTTTTATTTTCTTCAATTGTGTTCATTGTTATTTGGAATGGATCCAGGAGAAGGTTCAGGATCGCATCCAGGATGGATGTATCAAAATCTAGAATCGCAACTAGAGGGGATGCATCTAGAAGGAGGTTCAGGAGCACACTCAGGATCGATGAATCTAGGAGAAGGTTCTTTAGAATGGCAACTAGAAATGATGGAAAAAGAAGCTATGGATCAGCAGACATTAAAGGAACAAAATGTTTGTATTATTCTAAATTAAAAAGTAACAATAGTTTTAATAAACTTTCAATCAAGCAAAAGAAATATTTATACCGAAGTTTGAAGAATTCGGCAACTTAAAGCGTTGTCCTGACATCGAAGCCCGTAAATTAGGTAATATTTTTTTAATTTATAAAAATATAATTTTTAACTAATATAAACAATTTATTTTTAAAGATATAAACGACCCTGACTATGTGAAAAAAATTAAAAATGTTAAAAAACAATATAAAAATTTGGTTGCTGCATTTAATGTTTTATTAATGCAATCAAATGAAATGAATGGAAATTTAAGCATGTTTATGGAAGGTGATCGCGAGCAATATCAGGCAAAAGATATTTCGTTATAAAATTTGTTTTAAATTACTTGAGATGGGATAGATCGTTTTTACTAAATTTTTTTTAGTACCCAAAAGTTAACCTAGATAAATTAGGGATGAAATTATTCTATGCAAAATAATTTTATTTTCACATTTGTTAGAGCATTATGAATGGTTTAATGCCAATGATTCAAACGAACATAAAAGATAAAATCGAAATTATAGAAGATATTCAAAAACTTTTTGAGTATGTCATGGATCAAGATTATGAACAAGACATCGGTAATTGACTTTAATATAAACCATTGCGGAACTTATATGGTTTAGGTACACTTTTTTAGCCACGCCCTTTTTTCCTTTTCCATCATTATTAGGTATTTTACTCTTTTTCCCTCTCAACCATCAATCAATTGAGTTGAGGTCAATTTTTGACTCGGATGACATAATCGAGCTGGGCTGAGACGAATGACACTGAAATCGGTCCGTGAGATCTCTGAGCTGAATTACAATGGTCCAAAAATTTCTAAAAATGGGTAAAAACGGTCGGCATTTTGTAAAAACCGGACCATTAGTTCCAAAACACAGACCCGGGATACTTATTGCCATTTAAACAATTGAAATATGTGATAAAAATAAAAATATTGATTAAATGTTAATTCTATTTTGGTTACATTGGAAAGAAAAATTAATCTTTTCCTTGTTAATGTCTCTCACTGAACATGCCACAGGTAAAATTGAGTGAAATCGAGGAAGAAAGAAAGGCTGACCATTCTGTCCATATTAAGGTTGATTGATGATGGAAAAGGAAAAAAGGGCGTGGCTAAAAAATGTACCTAAACCATATAAGTTCCACCATTGCTATAAATAGGGATGGGATTAACATACAGTAAAGCGGTTGGTCCCGTTTCCCAGTGCCTCGTTGTTTAATTGATGTTATATGCAAAGTCGCACATGCTTGCAATCATGTGTGAAATCCGCAGAGTATAGAAGATAGGTAATCGCTCGCAGTGGGGGAATATAGGAGTCGTCTTCCCTATAAAACTCGATGGATTGGCCGGCCGGCAACTCTGTTGAATGAATGAAGAAGTGAGCTGCCTTTGCCTATTCCATTAAAGCTTATATGCACCAGCTTACTTCCTATTGCTTTCGCAAGTATAAATAAGTGGCGATGTTAAGCTTAGATAATGGGCGGCTAATAGCTAATGGGAATGGCCGTAAAATAGTTCTTCGTAAAATAGTTAAATATTTTAAATTTCAGGTCTCGATAAAGGAAACAGTGGTAAGTAGCTTGACACCCTTGCGGGAAAGTCGCGAAATTTGAGATTTTTGAAAAAAAATTTTTTAGGTTTAGTTGGATACCTTTCTAATCGGATGAAATATTAACCCATATACTTTAGTATTTATCTAAAAATAAAAATTTACAATTTAATTTAGTATTTAAATTTTTTGCTTTCTTCAATTTTCATTAATATTTAATTGAATTAAGGGGAAGATACACAAGAACAAAAGGAACATCGTGTATGTTTATAGTAGGGTAGATCCCCGACCCTGAATGGCCGGGGATTTACCCTAGTTTATATTATTGTAGCAAAATAAATTATAAACATTTTAATAGGTTTTCGAAGTATTAGCCAGACAAATTAGTCATTTAGTTGAAGGAGAATTAGGCAATGCAAAGATCTGTGAGGACTTAACACCTCCGCGATTAGGTAATATCCATTTTTATATAAATTTTGTAAGGTATATCCGTTGATTGCCTAAGCAAAGGTGATCTTTTGGGAGAGCATTAATTGTTGATGGATTTTCCCAACCATTACACTTTAATTATTATTTATCGCTATTTCCTGTATCACCTCCCATTCACATGCTTATGTTTATATATTGTTTATTGTTTCACCGATAAATCTGTTCCCAGTTAGTCAGTCTTTTAATATATGTGCCACAAAGAGAAAGCTCACCGGTGTTGCTTGGTAAAGGTGATAACTATCCTTAGGGATTATAATGTTTTATGTGTCTAGGTATATTTGGTAGAATGGACCCAGCATACCTCCACTCAACTATTTTTCAAAAATAATTTTTAACTGTAAAACCATTTTATTTTTCAAAATAAAGGAAAGAATGTTAGAGAACAATATTATAAATTGTTTTATGCATACATGGCATTCGACGTAAACCCAACAACTAATCCGGTAATACTGTTTTTTAATCATTTTAATGTTCGGTAATGAAATGTTAGATAATGATTTTATTCGAAAAGGGGAGATTATTTTTTCCAGAACCAAAATCTTGAAAAAATTTAATAAATTTGTATGAAATGATTCTATTCTCGTAATAAATTTAATTTCTCATTTGTTAGGAAAATACACGACGAAAAATCAAAGTTCATGTTAACGGGAAAAGCAATATTGTTCAGGATATGCAAAAACTTCGCGATCATCTAAATAAACTTGTGTAATATAAACTCTATTTTTTAATCAATTTAACTTAGATACAAATCAAATATAAGTGAATGGGCTCTGCCGAATTTTTAACGGAACTAGACATCGGAAGGGTCCGAAAAAAATTGTAGTGGTGAAGTGGAAAAAGGGAAAAATATTGCGGTGTAAGGAATCCTGGAAATTTGGGCTCTCCAAAGTTGGACTTCAACTTTTCAGAATTTTGGTATCCTGCTAGTAAAAATTTTGAGTATTTTGAAATACCAAAAAGCTATGTTTCTTCCTTTTTAGGGCTTAGACATCTGATTCGGACATAAGGGAATTTTCCTGGAACCGTCACCCGATGCGAGAGCCTCTATAAAATTTATTAGAGCGATAAACCTCATTTACCGTGCCTCAGAAAAATTTTAAAATTATTGAAAACTAAGAAGTCAGACTCCTTTCTTTCTTAGGAAGAAATTTTTTGGAAGGCCAAAAAATAATGGTCGGCATTAAAATGTAAATGTAAATCGACTAAAGAGGGCAAATTGCCTAAGCCGAAGGGAAAACCGGAAGGGGCTAAAAAACAAAATTCTGCGAAAGTTGAAGCGGAAGAGAGCTCATCCCTGATAGTTTATTTTCCTCTCTTAAAATGAAAAAGCTCTTGAAATGACAAGTGAAAAAAAATTTTTTTTTCAGCTTCCGAACTCTCCTTGATACTCTGACGACTCGCAAAAATGAAGGTAATTAATTCTTTAAACCATTTGTAATCATCAATCGGGGTTTCCTCTGAAAATAGATATTTTAACTGGATTATATTGGTATAGTATGCAGTAGTGTTATTCACGGTACCGTATTACCGCGGTATTTTTCGGTAATACCGCGGTATTTTTACCGAAATACCGATACCGAATACGGTACCGAACAATTTTTAAAAAATCGGTATTTTTCGGTATCGGTATTTTACCGAAAATACCGATACCGAAAAAACGCGTTTGAATAACACTAGTATACAGTTAGGTAAAGGGCTGGGTCCGCCTTTTAAACGTTGTCCAGCCAAAACTTTGTCCTTCCAAACCTCGGACAAAGGAAAAAATATGACCAATTGAGTTCTGTTAGTGAGAATGAACGTATTTTAATAATTTGTACACATTCAGTTGAGGAAATATGTAAACCAGAACAAGGTGGACAAGGGCAACATGAATATGAGGGACAAGGTTCACAACATGTTGGAAAAGGCCAAAAAAAGAACAAAAAGAAAAAACAGAACAAGCGTAGAAATTGAAATTAGTGACTTTTCGGAGAGCCACAGTTGAGATACTGACATGAGCCATATTTTTGGTTATGACTTTTCTAGTTCATAATTGAGTCAGATAGTTAATATATCATCGATAGCTATTGACTAAGACATTATAGAATATGTTACAGTTGAACAAAGATCAAAATCATGATTGCGCTCACTTATCTGGATGTAGCTTTTAGTAGAATTATTGTCAATTCAATCATGTTGGCGAAAATAATTCACACATCCGGGGCTTTCGAATGGTAAAACATTTATTCTAATTGGCTGCGAACCCAAAAAGTTATTGCCCAAAATATGGCTCAGTCAACCCCGACCGATTTTTTCTTTCCCCTTTTGACTTTTGGTCAAATATTATGACAAAACTGAATATATCTTTTCCTTCAGTATATGAGGATTTATATAATTATGCCAATATATTTATGGTTTAGATTGGCAAGAAATTGTAAATCGGACAAATCTTTGGGAAAAAGATTGGCCGTTGTTTTTCTGGAGTATTCATTTTTACCTATCCAGTAATCTGTTTCACTTAATTTCCATTCATTTTTCTCCCATTATTTCTTACAGAAACTCGTCAAATAGGATTAGTAATTTACCACGAGATAAGGGTTATTAGGTCATTATAAGATTTATGCTGCCTAATAGTTTTTTCAGTTTCTTATTGAAACAACGTGTATATTTCTGGCTTTTCCATTAAAGAAAAATAATAATCCAACTTTCCATTAATGATTATTACAAGAATATGTCTTCCTCCGGTATATGAAAATATATAAGATCGTTATATGAGATCCTTCAGTACATATATGTATGATTATCTTCCTTCAGTTCTGTCATAATATGTAGATTTAATTTCCATCAATTCTTTCTTCTTTCTTCACAATTAAATACTTTAATTTTCTATTCTTTCTAGCACAATTTGTATTAGTTTTCCATTTCTAGAATTTTTAATCCATTTTTTATTTTGACATTTTTCGGTGATTTGTAGTTTTTATGCTCTTGCGATAAATGTTAGTTATTCTTCAATTATTATATCCTCCGGTATATGAGGATATATGAGATCGTTATATGAGATCCTTCAGTACATATATGTATGATTATCTTCCTTCAGTTCTGTCATCATATAGATTTACTTTCCATCAATTCTTTCTTCTTTCTTTACAATTAAATTCTTTTATTTTCTATTCTTTCTAGCACAATTTGTATTAGT